AATTTCTGCAGGCTACAATTAGAGATTTGTCAACAATTATTTTAAGTAATTTTAAATGGTGAACATACAAATTCAGTTTTTTAATGCATTTTGTGCACTGCAGATGTTTCATATTGATAGCTTGTCAAAACACTACTCATTTATTAATTTATTTAGTGGACCAGACTTTATGCTGATAGTCAAATGTTTACATTAGTCATATTACAGAGAATGTAATCTCAGCTTAATATGTCATTTTATTTCTTAAAGTTACACTACCATTCAAATTATTTAAAAAAATAATTATAGTTTTATTCAGCAAGGATGCATTGAATTGATCAAAATTGACTTTTATAATGTTACAAATTTATTTCTATTTCAAACAAATGCTTTTCTTTTAAGCTTTGTATTTATCAAAGAATCCTAAAAATATATTAGGATTTCCAAAGATATGAAGCAGCACAACTGTTTTCAGCATTGATAATAATAATAAATGTTACTTTAACACTAAATCAGCATATTAGAATGATTTCTGAAGGATCATGTGACTCTGAAGACTGGAGTAATGATGCTGGAAATTCAGCGTTGCATCGCAGAAATAAATTACATCTTCAAATACATTCAAACAGAAAACGAGTATTTAAAATTGTAATAATATTTCACATTATTATTGTTTTTACTGTATTTTTAATCAAATCAATGCAGCCTTGGTGAGCATAAAGTAGATTTATTTTAAAAACATTTAAAAACTTCCCAACCCCAGACATTTGAATGGCTGTGTAAGCATATGTTGATTTTTAAGCAAAAATGATTTTCACCTGGCATGATGACATCAGAGAAGCCTAGTTTTTTGGTAATGGACACTCCTCTAGTGAAGAGCACCATGTATTCTCTCCGCAGCTGCTCGATGTCGCCATGCAGCAACTGAAGCGCCACCGCCAGACCTGGATTGAACACACACATCCAAACTCATATTAATTTTCCAACAAACACAGCATAATATGAGCTAATTACAGATGATTATTCACAGCTTTCTTGAATCAATCACTTAATGAATGGACCTTTACCCAACAGACCGACACTGAGAAAACTTTGCACCTGCACATGATGAATATTCACTATATTCACTGGAGAGCACATGAATATTCATTAGAAAGCTCTGAATATAATAATCCTCCCACACTCGACTCACTTGTTTTGAGAGGTTGTGATAAATGTCAATTTTGCCTAATTGTATTCTGTCCAGAAGAGTTTTGGCAGTGTTTCTGGTTAATATCTGAGTGGTTTGCATTTGGATAAACTGCACTTCTTTTGTGACAGTGGTAATGAATATTCACATGTAATGATGTGAAAGTGATGTGATGTACCGAAAAACACATTATCTGCCCAGAACTGCCTCTTGTAGAATTTCTAACCACATGAAAATGAATGAGATGATCCATGCCAAGTACCGTCCGCAACTTTACAGGAAATCATCTCCTTACAGAGTTATTACAGTTAAAACCATAAAAAATAGATAAAAACAACCACTAAAATTATTGAAAGTATTTTAGTTACTTGAAATTAAAATAAACATTAAATTAAATATGTAAAACATCTTTTTTTATTATGAAATTATTTAAATTCAACACTTTCTTTAAATTTAAAATTGGGGGGGAAAAATCTAAATATGACTAAACTATTTCTGGCCCTTTTTAACCTGTTTTCCAATGTTTTTCTTGTCGTCTGAGCAGTCAGGTCTGAGTTTTGCTGAGCTTTGAAAAACTGGGCCGCTAAGGATGGAAAACAATCCAATAGGCCATCGGTACATGACGGTAAAATGATTAAGCAAACATGCATCAGGGTCTGTGCTCCTGCAGCTCTTAATGATGTTCTGAAGCAGCGCCGAGGTTGATCATAAACCTCATCTGGCACATACTCAATGGCAACGGCATTATGTTGTATAATCGCTGTTTGATGGCACAGGGTCAGAGAAGTACTATTGGAGAATTATTCAATTACTGAGCTCGCACAACGTCTCCATTAATCACACAGACAGATTCAGAGCGTGCACATGGGAACTGAGCCAATCTAAACCTACCCAAATAGAAATGTTACGTTACTAGCAGGTATTTACTTCTCAGCAATTAGAAGACAATGATTAATAAAATGTTCTATGCAAATGATTTGAATGTATAATGCATAAAATATTTAAGTCACTGTATAAGTAAGATGCATTTATGGATATCAAGGTTAAGTATAAAATCAATAATGCATTTTTTTTTTTATAAAAATGTAAATGAAATAAATGTAAAAAGTAAACAAATTAAATTAAATTAAATTGTGAAACCCTTTAAGATTGACTCCAATTAAGGCAATATTATTCTTAAATATGTTAATCAAATAAAATTAGGTTTAAATACAGGAAAATAAATTATAAATTAAATTAAAATGCTAAGCCCTTTCAGATTGGCTCCAATTAAGACAACATTTTAAATAAAAATAATAATAAAATAACATTAAATAAAATGTAAAATAAGTTTAAAAAATAAAAATCATTCAATTAGTTAAATTAAATTAAATCATTAAATGCCATTAAATTAAATTGGCTCTAAATGAACAAAATTTAGATTTTTTGACAAGTACTATACATATCCAGAGCTCTCTAATGTAACATTGCTCTATAATTACAGTCCAAGTACAGTTCATTTATTTTCAGCCCATTATCATAATGTTTAATAAGGTCCTGATAAAGCTGTTTCTTTGTTCTGCTCAGCGTATCTGATGTGGTAGAGATTAATCTAATAGAAACGTCACAGCTGATGAGTGTGTATCATAGTAAGGATGTGATCTCATTTCCACTGCATGAGCAGGCGTTTAACAAACCTGCATTGAATAATTTCATACATTAGCAGAAATCATATCTTCGTTCATTTGGATAAAATCTGAAAGTTAGCAAGATGCATCTTTTGTGAGCATTACTGTTCATTGTTTGGTGAATAAATGACTATGAGTCAGTCATCATAATTAATGTATTCCCTGCTTTTGCGATATGATTATTCAACAACGGATGTGGAGGTGCTGCGTACAATTACCAGCTCTTCACAGAAGACGCAGAAAACGCAAAAAAGCTGCAAATCTACCATCTGGATGCTTGTGCTTCTTTATGTGCATATCTTTTTTTCCCTGCCGGAATGAAATTTATTACCATGTGTAGCTGTTTGGATAAGCCACCCTGAGGGTCTTCTCGTGCTTCTTCAGATCTAAAATTATTAACTTCGAGTCATCATGCAAATGAGGTTTCAGGGAGAGCAGAGCATCTTTATAACACAGCCAGATACCACTGCTGGCGAACCGCGTACACAAGCATTATGCTGAAAATGGGGGTATTTAATTTAAGGGGAAGATACACTTTTGAAGGTTTTACTTTCCCTGAAGTCCATTTTAATGTTTATCAAAGTTGCATGCACCTAAAACAGTCTTAATTGGGGTTTTCATTACCATTTTCCAGCCTCTCTCTGACCTTAACAACAAAGAAGGCTGTTACTGTATCTTTAAGAATATATGCAAATGACCTCTTAAATGATTGGCTAACCTCTTTTCATGTAACAGTCACTGGACATTAAAATAAACGCTGATATGTAAACGTGGGCAGACTTATATTAATGGTAATTTCATCCCCATTTATGAAAACGGTTTTCAGTAATTGAATTGGGACAGCTTCGTTACCTGTGTTGGATCCTGAGAGGTTGTATCTGGAGTTGACTTTCTTAATGATGTTGTCGTGGATTTGACTCCAGTCGCTCTCTGTGTTGCAGCTGCAAAAAAAAAACAAGGACAATCAGAGCACTGGATTCAATCACAGAGACGCACAGATATAAAGAACAGCAATCATATTAACAGCCTGAAGGACTGGCCACGAGCAAGCTGATAATGTGTGAGTGAAACAAAGACCTAGAGCCAAACACATCTGTCTGCCGTCCAGTGCAAAGTAGGCCACAATATTACAGATCATAGAGACAGATTTCCATTTGTATTTCAGGTACCAACTCTTTAGATTACAACCATTATACTTTATTGCATACAGAAATCGGCATTAACACAGAAAACATCCTCAAATCTGATTGTGGAATAGAGAAGATAAGCTATAAAAATAAGGACAAAGACAACTTTGTTTTTCTTAAGGAAAGTTATTAAGTAGTGACATTTGCTACCCAAAACAAAACATAAAACAACAAAACATAAAAAATTTAATACAAAATAATTTAAATTAAATTAAACAAAACTCATCTAAGACATGATAAATATTATGTTTTAAAAAGATTTGAAAAAGATTGTCATTTAAAATGACAAATTTTATATATAAAGTGTGTCTACTCGAGATAAAAAAAAAACAAAGATTAAAAAAGATTTCCTGTTGACAAATGACTAAATCAATTCTTTAGAAAGCTTTCTGAATAATGTTTTTGGCTGATTATCTTTATTAAATAGAAAATAGAATTCATTAGAATTCAAATTTTTTGATATTTTTTTTTTTTTAGAATTATAATATTTATATTTTTTAATTTTTATAATTTTTTTTTACTTTAAACACCTTTATTTATTTTGGTGTTTCATGCCATGTTATCATCAAATACTATTTTCATGGCACAGACTGGGTTAAACCTTTTACAAAAGATAAAAAAATTTAGTCATATTTAAAAGGAGATACATTTTATGCATAAAGAAAAATGCACATACAATTTTCTATATCCAAACCCTCAAAGTTTTCATGTTAATAATTTACTTAACAAATCCTTAAGCTTTCTGAATAAAATCACTGGCTGACTGTTTGAAATTAAATTGATAAAATGTATGATTTGTTCAGTACATTACTTTTTATTTTTTCACATCTTTGTGAAATGTCATCATCCAAAATTATTTTCATGGCAAATATAATTTTTTTCTGAACATCACACTTTTTAAATTCCCTTATACAGGGTTTCTGCAGACATGAACAAGTTAAATCTAAGACTTTTTAAGACCACCTTATATGAAATTTAAGACCTAAACCTGTAATGGAAATACACATTTTATTACATACATATATGTAATATTTAATGTGTATAAATTAAAAAGAAAACAAAATATTATTGCTGTAATAAATTATGTTTATTACTACGATATACAGTGAACTTTTCATGTCAGCAGACAATATTCCATACAAAATATCCCCGCAAAATAACTGCATCACTGAGATTTTTGGTGGAGTAAACAATTTATTCTGAAGCAATATTTTCATCAGTGTTCTATCAGCTTTTACATACTTAAATCTGCATATTTACCTTTACAAAGGCCTATTTTTTTACCTTTTTAGATGTATGCATCATCTTTCATGTCAAATTACAATAATTTATCAATAAATTCAATATACACTATAGGGCTGCTACCAGTCAGATTAAATAATTTACACTGCAAATAACAATAATTACAACTGCAATAAATAATGTTATGAGATTAATGTTTTAAATGCATTTATGACTATACAAATAAGAAATGTTGAGGGGAAAAAAAGTTTTTGATATTCTTCATATTCTGTGTGGTGGTCAGATAGAAATTAATATTTTCCAATAAGTTTAAATAGATTTTTACCTTTTATGGGCATTTTACCTTTATAAAGCCATTTTTCTATATAAGTGTGCATTATCTTTTGAGTCAAATTCTTACATTTAATCAGTCAATTAGAATAATAAGACATTTTGGCTGTTACCAAGCAAATTAAATCAGTATCAACAAAATTCATCTTTACAATCCAGACATAAGCTGCACCTGAATTGGCATTCAGAAGTATTAACACACTGTTTAATGCATTTAACCTGCAGTTACAAATGCATAATTAATGTTTTGATATATTAAACATAAAACGTTAAATACTGAAAAATGAAAAGATACTTTAAATTTGAAATTAAAACCACCAGTAGGTGGCAGCAAGTCACTGTTAATAAGTGAGTCATTGCGACTGAACCGAATAATTTAAACAGTTGATTCATTCGGGAACGAAACACCGTCATGTTGCTCAGAGATGCAAAACAGTGCTGTGGCTTTGTTTGGAATTATTTTTGTTGGCGAAATAGTGCAAAAACAGGTAATATGTTATCTAAAACGTAAGTCTCTTAATTAACTTCTAGTTTATTGAACTGTTGCAAAAAATCAATATCACATTTGTATATGGTAATTTCTGGAGAAAAAAAGGCACTCTTCCATGTGAACTTGATTAACTATATGAAGTGGTATAAATATACACATTTTCTGCCCCCATGTCTTGAATTTGTGATCATTCTGAATGTATTTTAATAGACTGAATCATGCAGTGATCAGGCAGAGCGCACTGTAAATGCGCACTAGACTTCACTTAATGCGTGCACTCTGTAGGTGTTTTGAATGTTTTTATGAGTCGTGAGAATATTGAGCAAAATAGCTCACTTATCATGGTGTTATTTAACTATATCATGTTATGAATAAACTAAACATTTTGAATTTTACCTCAGTGTGCGTCTTCTGAGTTTATGTGTGCGGTCACGCTCATTTGTTCTGAAGTCTCGAGACAAACAGAGTGAGCCTCAGCGCGAGCTTGTATTCTGCTAACTTACTGCAATTCTCTCTGATGACGCAGTAACTTACCGCGGGTTTTCTTCGGTCTGTCCAATGATTGTAAAGTCATTAGGTCCGTCAGACTGAAGATATTTTAGCGGTTATGAGACCAAAAATATTTAAGACCCATCAAATCCGAATTTAAGACATTAAGACTTTTTAAGGTCTTGTATTAGGAAAACGTTATTTAAGACATTTTAAGACTTTTTAAGGACCCGCGGACACCCTGCTTATATTCATAGAAGAAGATTATTGAGCATGAATATGACGTTGACTAGGCAACCTCATCTAATCTGACCAATCAGGGGAAAGAGTAAGTCTGATGCCAGGAAGTCAGATTTGGTTGATTTCATGGTCCTGAGGTGTTATGCGGTTTGTTTGTTTGTGTGTGTGTGTGTGTGTGTGTGTGTGTGTAGGGTCACTTACGCATAGACCTTCAGCAGGTGGTCATCTTTGGAGTCAGCAGTGAGAAGATCAGCGATGCTGACCACCGCACAGCCGAACGGACGTCTGTACTGCACATTACACGTGTTCTTCTTCTCTCCTGCACCCATCCTCCCTACACACACACACACGCACACACACACAAAACAATCAGTGCTCATCACACACCTGCAGGCTCTTTGGCATCAGTAATTATTCAGTGGAGAAATATCGGCTTTTACCAATCCTAATGATGTGTACCACAATATACACGTCTTTCCTCAGGTCGCCGCTGCCCAGATCCTGAATAAAACATCAGCGACAGTTAATCAGCACAGATCACTCTGCATGATTACTCTGGCAGTGATTTCATCTCAACACTCACCACAAAAAGTGTGCATTGTCTTTCAGTCTTCTCGGGAAACTTGGGCAGACCGTTTTTATTGAGTTTAACAAAGAACCTTTCACTGTAAAACAAAGAGAGTGAACAAGAGAAATGCTTTCAGTTTATACAATGAGTTTATTCTGCTGTTTAAAAACACATAGCTCTCAAGTAATTGCATTTTTCATGTATCATTTTTGGCACAGCAAACACAATGCTGTTAAAGGGGTTAAATGGTGCGATTTCAATTTTTCCTTTCTCTTTGGAGTGTTACAAGCTCTTGGTGCATAAAGAAGATCTGTAAAGCTGCAAAGACTAAAGTCTCAAATCCAAAGAGATATTCTTTATAAAAGTTAAGAGTCAACCACGCCTACCTAAAACGGCTCGTTCTAAGACGCCCCCCATGTCTACATCACTATGTGGGTAGATTTGCATAACGCCATCCAAATGTTCACGCAAAGAAATTGCATGTATTCTGACAGCGCTGAACGATCTTGCGGCGCCAGGGTTCAAAGTCTAAAGCGCGAGGAAAATCTGTGCTGAAACTATGTTACTCGTCAGTTGCTCAGTAACATTTTTGTGAAGTTTTTTTAAAGGCATGTGACAATGTGATACGTGCGACAAACATCTTCCCAAATTCGTAATGAGAATCATTTATAAAGCTGCATGCTGTTGTTAACAAAAAGAAGCACTGAGATCTTCCTGAGGGTTTCTGCAAAAATAAAAGCCACCATCAACATTTATAACAACATTCAACAACTCCATCAACATTCATAAATAACAGTACTGTAATTTTACTGTTGTTCTGTAAAATAAAATAAAAACGCAAGACAATAATAATGATAATAATAATTACCCTACAACAGCTCTATTAATACATTTATTATAACATTCACACAGAGTGTTCAAATTGGGATCTGTAATATATTCTAATGTTTTAAAAGAACTCTCTTCTGATCAGCAAGGCTGCCTTTATTTGTACAGTAAAAAATACATGCCTGATTCAAGTCTCAAAAATGGCCCAAATATATTAGGATATTTTACCTAATTAATTTTTACCTTTATTAATTTTAAGTAAAATTTTGCTTTGATGGTATAATGTCTGCTAGAATGTTAAAAAAATGTTCAGTCAGTGTTAAGTAAATATTTTTTAATTGTTTTCTAATTGATTTTTTATTTAAAAAGCACATTTTGGCTATTTAATTTATGCAATGGTGAAAAACAAATGGCAAAATAGGCCTACATGGGGGAAAAATGCGAAAAACCGTATTCGGTATTCGGCCCAATGTTTCATTTTGTTCGGCTTCGGCCAATAATTTTCATTTCGGTGCATAACTAGGCGTAACATTTCCATCACACGCTTGAGGTATTCGGCCAATCACAACGCATTGGATAGCTGGCCAATCAGATCACACCTCACTTTTCAGACCGACGAGCTTTGTAAAAATCGACATGTTTCAGAAAGGCAGGGCATAGAGGAGAAACAATAATGTACAGTATGTAGAAATTAATGTGTTTTTTTAACCTTAAAACGCATAAACATTTCATTACACCAAATACACAAAATAATGTTATTTTTAGCAACATCATATGACCCCTTTAAATTCATTTTGCCTAGTAAAATATTTACAGAGCAAAATCTCATACATAAAACGGTTTATCATAATGGTCAAGAAACTAAGAATTGGTTAAGTAAAGCATGCTATTAAAACAAAACAACAAGCGACAAACCAAACTATACCATACCATAAAATTAAATTAAATTAAATACAGTATTTTAGAACATTAACACAAAGTTTTTTGCACTGGAGTAATAGATTTTGTTTGTTTGTTTTTTGTATGCACTACTACCATGTTTCTGGACATGTACAAGAGTAATAATATTTTTTTTGGTAATGCACTTTGTTATTACCAGGTTTTTGGACATGTACAAAATAAAATATAAATTTGGGACAATAATCATAGTAATACCATGCTTTTGTACATGTACCATGGTCATAATATATATATTGGATAAATATTATGGTAGAATCATGTTTTGTAAAACAAAAACAAAGTACAAGTCAAATAAATTCACAATCAAATCATCAAATAAAAAACACACACACACACAAAAGCTGTCAATACAAGAGAATAACGGGACAGACACTTTACCCACCAAACTCATAATCCAGTTACATGACTTTCACAGCTCCATGATAAAAAGACGAGCAGCCCTATAAATGAACCCCAACAGGAACAATAGCTGGCAATAGAAATCGAACAAAACTTGCGAGTCCAAGCCACTCAGGATACGCACACATTCATGCACGGACTTGTATTAAACCGGCCCTTCACACAAACACCATGTAATTAACTGTGCATTGTTGCGATCCCAGCGTCCCATCACCAGAGGCAGGAGCCAAAAGGCTGATTTGGCCTTTGACATGCAGCTGCAGGGCTGCGATGGCTTTCTGAAGAGGCGTCTGAGGACACTGGGATATTGCTATCGACAGATATCACGCCAACATTTCCATAACACACAGATGGGCGGCTTTCTTTCCCTCTCACCCCAGAATTTGATATTTCCTCCCTTGATGCCAGGGATTGTAACACGACAAGTTCAAATGGGACCCGATACGAGCCCCCGTCTCCCTCCGGATAAATCGACACGGCCGGAAAAGTGATCCCTGTATGTCTGAGTGGATATATTAACCGTGCCACAAAACGCTCCCGTGGGAACAGAGTGGGAGCCGTTACCCAGAAGGCTGTCAATCAGCACTTTTTTACACATCCTGCGGCAGAAATGAAGTGAAACACAGATAGATGCTTTCACACACACTTCACACACTGACACAAGGGGCTTTTTGTAACAGCACTCGCTGTCCGTGCGCTGCTAGACGAAATGGGTATAACTGGTAACATGAGCTGCCTAACACCAGGACTGATACTGAATCACTCCAGCCAAAGAAATGCTGCAGGATCAGTTCATGTAAAAAAAAAAATAATAATAATAAAATAAAATTAGAATCCAACTTTTATTTTGTGAATTAAAAAACAATTTTTGTTTATTTTTACAAACTTATTATAAAAAATAAAAATAAAATAGTATATGAAATAATACATGAATATAATATGATAGAATTTCTTATAAAGTATATTTGTAATTAAAATAAAAGAAAATAAAAATTTATCTTTTAGTTTGTAAATTAGAAACCCTTTTTGTTTATTTTTACAAACACATTATAAATAATAATAAAATTGTACAGAAAAATAATTAGGGATGCACCGATACCACTTTTTCCAGTACTCGCCCAATACCGATACTTTTATTTTTGGTACTTGCCGATACCGATATTTTTAAATTTTTTAAATATTGGGTACAGAAACCAAAAGGGTATGTTAGTTGGTTATCTTCATTTATCAAATAGATACAGTCAAACCAAAAGAAATAGAAGTCGCGTTTTTTCATCCGAAATGTGCTGCGATTTATATTCCAAAGCCACTCATATAATGCAGAAACACTCAAGCAACCAAAACACACGCAACGCGTGTAGGTATTTGTACTGATGCAGAATAGTACAGCCTAGCGCATTTCACACAGGCTGTTAGTTTCACTTTCGCCAGAAAGTCGTGTATGCCTAAGGTTGAAAATAAATGATGTTTATAGTGAATGCCCCTATGAATGGTTTTATTTTTACGATTTCGTTTGAATCCAAATGATGCGTGTGCTAAATTTTGACATATCCGACCGAACTACAATCCACTCAGCGCGCTTTGTTTATCAGCTCGCGCACACCAGCTATACAGGCATTAATACTGAATGTTTAACATTATATTCATTGCATATATATACTTCGTAATAGACATCCTTAACTCCTTTCTGCTGTCTGTTGTTCTGTTGTTGGTGTTTCTTTGTTTGAATATGGCGCTTATCACATGCTGTGTGGTATTGACGTTTGGTATCGGGGCTTTTTAATGAGTACGAGTACAGGAGACCAGTATCGGGCCCGATACGATACCAGTATCGGTATTGGTGCATCCTTAAAAATAATAAATTAATATATTAGGATACAAATATACTGTATAATTATAATAAAATTAAAATAAAATGTATTATAAAAAATAAACAATTATAAATAATAATAATAAAATAGTATATTAAAATAATTAATTAATATATGATACAAATATACTTTATTAGAAATTATTATTATAAATAAGAAAACTGTATATAATAAATTAACATAATAAATTAATATAATAACATGATTTTAATTTTAAAAAAGTAGAATAAAAAATAGACTACTAACTTAAAAGTAATAATTTAAGAGAGTTAATTTAGCAAGATGATAAATTACAGACAAGTAGAAATAAAAATTAAATAAGTCATAAATAAACAAAAGTAATACTAGTACGCAACAACATGGTATATCTCCAAATATTAATGTTAAATGCATAAATGTAGATGTTCATTCCATACTCAGAAGTATGTACTATTGTCAGTAATGTGCAGTAATGCCTGTAACAGCACATTAAATGCATTTAGAGTAAAATATTCAAATTGGGATGCAGCCCTAGTGATTCTGGGGAATCTGGGCAGCAGTGTTTATCGAATTCAGAATTGTGAGATATAAATGCAGAATTGCGTGATACAAAGAAACAAATGTGAGATATAAACTCGCAACTGCAGAAAAAAAAGTCCGAATTGTGAGATAAAAAGTCGAAATTACCTTTTTCATTTTTTATTCCATGGCGGGAAGAAAAAATCTAAACTGCAGGATGTAAACTCATAATTCTAAGAAAAAGTCAGAATTGCAATAAAATAAAATCTGAATTTAAAATTTTTATCTTGCATTTTTTTTCTCAGAATTGTTACATACAAACTCAGAATTGTAAGAAAAAAATGTCACTTTCGTAAGAAAAAGTCAGAAGTGGGCAAAAGTCTCAATTACCTTTTAAAAAAAAATTATTCTGTAGCGGAAACAGACTTCCATTAAAAATGCTGTTATTTTGAACTTTCTATTCATTAAAGAATCCTCAAGAATCCTTCAATGTTGAAAGAAATTAAAAGAAATGTTTCTTGAGCATCAAATCAGTATATTAGAATGATTTCTGAAGGATCATGTGACACTGAAGACTGGAGTAATGATGCGGAAAATTCTGCTTTGCTTCACAGAAATAAATTACATGTATAACAGTTATTTTAAATTGCATTCATATTTTACTACTTTTTAATATTACTACTTTTACTGTATTTTTGATCAAATAAATGCAGCCTTGGTTAGAACAAGAGTCGTCTTTCAAAAAATATTTTTAAAAACATACTGACCCCAAACATTTGAACAGTTGTGTACGAGTGTAAATCTACATTTTAATACATTTATAAGTATGTATAAATGATTGGTTAGACGCTCACCTGAGCGGTTTGTTCTCTCGACTATCATAGATGAAGAAGAAGACCTCCAGCTCTTCACCCAGGTTTGAGCTCATCAGACTCTTCAGATGGACAAACAGGTGATGTGTGCTGACAGGAGTTGGAGTTTCCTTCTTTCTGTGCCGATTCTCCATCTATCCATCCAAACACACACAAATCATTACATGTGATGCATCCATTTTTCAATAAAACAAGACATAAAAGTGACCCAGCAACACAATGCATGTAAAGATCTAACTTCGCATTGTGTTTCTCTTTTTTAATACCAAGAAAAGCATGAAAAGCTGTGCATAACATCTTCAGAAATGCACTGAATATTTCATTGAATTCCAGCGGCTCCATGTTCACAGCACGACTGCTTTACAGCCAGCCAAATCTAATTTGTTTCAGTTAATATGCTCCTTTCTTTGCAATGACACCACAGAGTGCAATGTCAAATGCACACGCACTCACATTCACATGCACATCACTGCACACATGCTTATTTTAAGTGCACATTCACACCGTTGTTGTGTAACAAACACACTTCTCACATGGGAGCATCATCTATTGGATGTGTAGATTCGTTGAACCGCACCACATTCTGATCACACATCTCTGTGTGAGGACAGTGAGGTGTGAACAGGCATGATGTGAAATATAAAAAGGCTAATGGGCAGTGCATATGCGCCATCTCTGTGTGTATTCACGAAGACAAACACTAATGAACACTTTAATTTATTATCATACTTATTATGATAAAGTTATTATGATAGCAACCAATTAAACTAAAAAAATGGCATGTGGCCTTTAAGTATTTCTCAGATAATTAGCATTGGAAGTTTTGCAAACAACTATTCAAGTCAATAGACAGTCATTAGGATTAATGTGTCCCAAGATATGTAAAAACAGTATGTCAGTGGTGTGCTGATTGTGGCATTTTTTTTTTTTTTGGCTAACATTACCCACAACCCCCAGCAAAACAGAAAAGGAGGAATTTGCAATGAAATGTTTGCAATTATAGAAAAAGCTATATTAATAGTTTTTAAATGCATGAACATAATAATGTAATAAATAATAAATAACAATAATAATAACATTTTAAAATAATGCATTTAATAAAATGCTAACACATGTAAAATAATTAGGCTATGTAAAAGGGTAGATAATTAAATTGCATTAAAATAAAATAAATGCATGAACATAATAATGTAACAAATAATAAATAACAATAATAATGGTGTATTATAAGGTAATGCATTTAATGAGACGCTAACACATGTAAAATAATTATGGTACGTAAAAAGGCAAATAATTAAATTGCATCCAAAATAAAATAAAATAAAAAAATTCTACTTTATGTAATAAAATATTTTTTATTCATACAACTGTTACAATTATGAAATAATTATTTTAAATAATAATAATAATAATAATAATACTGTAATAGTATTATACTTTATACAACTTATAATTATGAAAAAAATTTAAATAATTATAATACTTTATAAAATGATACAATAATTAATAAACAATAAAAAAAATATTATACGAGTTTAAAACAAATGTTTACATTTACATGTATAATAAAGGGTAAATACTTTAAGTGCATCCACAAATTAGATTTTAACTTACTGTAAGGTGTTGTACGAGTAAAAACAAAGGTATTGAAGTACATTAATAAAAGAAGAAAAAAATCAATCTATCCTCCTTTGCGAGAAATGACGTTAACAGAAGCTCAAATAACAGAGTTTTAATGGGAATGAATAGGCTAAAAAGATAAAGCACTGGAATTTCAATAAAGACTTTATTCCTTGTTTGGCAGGCCGGGTCCGATCACGGAAGGTTCTGGATTCTAAACTGCTTACTTTCACATCAAGAACTCCAAACAAAGACCACCTGTGCTCTGATAGGGGGGGGGGGGGGGGGGGGGTGGTGAGCAAACGCCAGCGAGCAGCTGCTGAGACGGTTACAGTCTGTCATTAACCATTAGATGAGATAAACAGGTACACACACAACCGTCTGTAGACTCTCACAGCCTCCACTGCAGGTGTGTTTCCCTGATGAAAACTGTTTATTTGTTTTTCATCTGTCTGGCAGCGGCCAGGAACAAACACAGGAGGAAGTACATGTAATGAGGTTATGATTGACGAGCACATCCTGGATACAAATAGGATATTTTTCCACAAAAGGAAGACTTTTTATTATAATATCGCTATGAAAGCTTGTTTAGGCCACGGGATTAAAAATAAATAAATAACCTGTAACTGCGAGTTTTTATCTCACAATTCAGACATTTTTTATAGTTTATCGAATTCAGAATTGTGAGATATAAATGCAGAATTGCGTGATACAAAGAAACAAATGTGAGATATAAACTCGCAACTGCAGAAAAAAAAGTCCGAATTGTGAGATAAAAAGTCGAAATTACCTTTTTCATTTTTTATTCCATGGCGGGAAGAAAAAATCTAAACTGCAGGATGTAAACTCATAATTCTAAGAAAAAGTCAGAATTGCAATAAAATAAAATCTGAATTTAAAATTTTTATCTTGCATTTTTTTTCTCAGAATTGTTACATACAAACTCAGAATTGTAAGAAAAAAATGTCACTTTCGTAAGAAAGTCAGAAGTGGGCAAAAGTCTCAATTACATTTTAAAAAAAAATTTATTCTGTAGCGGAAACAGACTTCCATTAAAAATGCTGTTATTTGAACTTTCTATTCATTAAAGAATCCTCAAGAATCCTTCAATGTTGAAAGAAATTAAAAGAAATGTTTCTTGAGCATCAAATCAGTATATTAGAATGATTTCTGAAGGATCATGTGACACTGAAGACTGGAGTAATGATGCGGAAAATTCTGCTTTGCTTCACAGAAATAAATTACATGTATAACAGTTATTTTAAATTGCATTCATATTTTACTACTTTTTAATATTACTACTTTTACTGTATTTCTGATCAAATAAATGCAGCCTTGGTTAGAACAAGAGTCGTCTTTCAAAAAATATTTTTAAAAACATACTGACCCCAAACATTTGAACAGTTGTGTACGAGTGTAAATCTACATTTTAATACATTTATAAGTATGTATAAATGATTGGTTAGACGCTCACCTGAGCGGTTTGTTCTCTAATAATAATAATAATACTGTAATAGTATTATACTTTATACAACTTATAATTATGAAAAAAATTTAAATAATTATAATACTTTATAAAATGATACAATAATTAATAAACAATAAAAAAAATATTATACGAGTTTAAAACAAATGTTTACATTTACATGTATAATAAAGGGTAAATACTTTAAGTGCATCCACAAATTAGATTTTAACTTACTGTAAGGTGTTGTACGAGTAAAAACAAAGGTATTGAAGTACATTAATAAAAGAAGAAAAAAATCAATCTATCCTCCTTTGCGAGAAATGACGTTAACAGAAGCTCAAATAACAGAGTTTTAATGGGAATGAATAGGCTAAAAAGATAAAGCACTGGAATTTCAATAAAGACTTTATTCCTTGTTTGGCAGGCCGGGTCCGATCACGGAAGGTTCTGGATTCTAAACTGCTTACTTTCACATCAAGAACTCCAAACAAAGACCACCTGTGCTCTGATAGGGGGGGGGGGGGGGGAAATATCATATGTCCAGATATTTTGCACGAGTGTGAGTATTTATGTAATTTGCAATATTCTTTGTGGTAATTATCATTAGATTATAATTACTGGAATTAATTAATTTACTTCTATTTAAACAAGCATAAAATATATACAGTACAACAAATAATACCAAGATATATCAATATTTAACTTTATACTTACACTACTGTTCAAAAGTTTGAGGTTAGTATGATTTTTTTTTACACATGATTTCTATTACAAAAAACTGCTCTTTTAAACTTTCTATTTATAATAATGTGTAATGTGTTTAACAAAAATATTAAGTAGCACAACTGTTTTCAACATTGATAATTATAAGAAATGTGTCTTGAGAACCATATTAGAATGATTTCTGAAGGATCAGGTGACACTGTAGACTGGAGAAAATTCAGCTGAAAATTCAGCTTTGCATCACAAGAATAAATGACATTTAAAAATACATTAATAAAGAAAATTATTTTAAAATCACAATAATTTATCAATTTAAATCAAATGAATGCTACGCATTAGAGACTTCTATCAAAAACATTAAACAACCTTACCAACCCTAGTCTTTTAAACAGTACGACATTAACAATATTTCAATATGTTAACAATTAACAATATTTAACTTTAGTTACAGTAAAAACAATTACAAGTTTTGCTGAATTACGGTAAAAGGAATTTGAATTCAAATACGTTTAACGGTCACAAAAAAAATCATGCAAATGCAAAAAAAAAAACTTAATGGTCATAGGCTTCATTCTCATCATGAAGAATACAATATAATTCATATTCACATAAATCACGTTATCTAATGTTTAATAAACTCTTATGTGGAGCTAGATTTTGAGATTTCACTCACGTTTCTTTCATATTTGTGTGAAATATGACCTGTACATGTTTGCGACAGGTGTTTTGTGATTAACCTTGTTGCTTTAACACATCACACAGGTGATACCGTACTCACTCGTTGCCCCAGTCCAGACGTGCCGTGATGTGCTGTTTGACGTCCCTCATGCGGTCGTGGGTCAAGTGACCCACCAAAACCTGCCGCCTGAGGTCCAAAATCTCATTCATCACATGCCACAGTCTGTGAAACAGATCTCCTTCATTTTTCTATGGGGATAAACAAAAGATGGGAAAGCATTACTAGACCGTATCTTGCCAGTGAAAACGCTACACACAATCAAAACCAATCCGTAAGTATCTGGTTTTTAATGAACTGCTGCGTGAAGCTGGATTTTGAGTTTTCGCTGTGGACGGGGATACTGAACAAAACACTGCAGAATTACAAACCAAGCAAAAAACCAAGATCCTACTGCTTATGACTGCCGGTTAAGACAAAATCTCATGGAAGAAATTAAACTCACAAACAAAAGTCTGGGACACATTTTAGGCCCCCAAAAATCACAATTAAATAAGAATTTATACTTCACAGAAAAAAATGAATAACATTTAGGCCCATATGTCCAGATATTTTGCACGAGTGTGAGTATTTATGTAATTTGCAATATTCTTTGTGGTAATTATCATTAGATTATAATTACTGGAATTAATTTATTTACTTCTATTTAAACAAGCATAAAATATATACAGTACAACAAATAATACCAACATATATCAATATTTAACTTTATACTTACACTACTGTTCAAAAGTTTGAGGTTAGTATGATTTTTTTTTACACATGATTTCTATTACAAAAAACTGCTCTTTTAAACTTTCTTTTTATAATAATGTGTAATGTGTTTAACAAAAATATTAAGTAGCACAACTGTTTTCAACATTGATAATTATAAGAAATGTGTCTTGAGAACCATATTAGAATGATTTCTGAAGGATCAGGTGACACTGTAGACTGGAGAAAATTCAGCTGAAAATTCAGCTTTGCATCACAAGAATAAATGACATTTAAAAATACATTAATAAAGAAAATTATTTTAAATCACAATAATTTATCAATTTAAATCAAATGAATGCTACGCATTAGAGACTTCTATCAAAAACATTAAACAACCTTACCAACCCTAGTCTTTTAAACAGTAGGACATTAACAATATTTCAATATGTTAACAATTAACAATATTTAACTTTAGTTACAGTAAAAACAATTACAAGTTTTGCTGAATTACGGTAAAAGGAATTTGAATTCAAATACGTTTAACTGTCACAAAAAAATAAATGCAAATGCAAAAAAAAAACCTTAATGGTCATAGGCTTCATTCTCATCATGAAGAATACAATATAATTCATATTCACATAAATCACGTTATCTAATGTTTAATAAACTCTTATGTGGAGCTAGATTTTGAGATTTCACTCACGTTTCTTTCATATTTGTGTGAAATATGACCTGTACATGTTTGCGACAGGTGTTTTGTGATTAACCTTGTTGCTTTAACACATCACACAGGTGATACCGTACTCACTCGTTGCCCCAGTCCAGACGTGCCGTGATGTGCTGTTTGACGTCCCTCATGCGGTCGTGGGTCAAGTGACCCACCAAAACCTGCCGCCTGAGGTCCAAAATCTCATTCATCACATGCCACAGTCTGTGAAACAGATCTCCTTCATTTTTCTATGGGGATAAACAAAAGATGGGAAAGATAAACGTGAAATGTTGATACAGCTTTAATAAGGAGTTTATATTGCTGTAGCACTCAAATATAATGACCTGGTGTAAAAATAATTCAAAAACAGTCCCCCCCCCCCGGAACAAAAGCTTAAATACAAATAATTTATTCCGCCCGACAGCGTCTGTGCACCCAGAGTTCACGAAGCCAGCGTCTGGCTGTGGGCGGACTGCTGTGTTCGCCCAAATAGTATTTACCACAAAGAGCTGCTTCCACATGGCTCCCCAGTCCCTCAGGGTGGACGTCATCTCCGTAATGACAGAGTCTTCGGTCGGCACCACCGTCTCGAACTGCCTGTGAGTCAAATGTGGGTGGCACACAGCGCAACAGATATGAGATACACCTCATCTGCTTCTGCCACAGATGCTGTACTGTTCGTTAATCAAAGGAGAAAGCAGATGTACAGTGGAACGCAGGCACTTTCCTTCTGTTCACCGTCGATACATTCATTTAGCATTATGTTCAGGCAGCAAAGTCTCACAACAGATGACTGTGCACCAGCAAAATGTCTTAATATGGTTTCAGAAAATCCAGAACACCAATTATATTGTATGGATGCAGAATATGGAAGAAGCTAAAACAATTGCGTGGCAGATATGTATTAATTACGGCTGGGCGATTTTTCTGTTTTTATCGATTAAGTCGAATGGAATGTTTTGCCACAATTTTAGTTATTTTTTTAACCTCATAATGCATTCAATATCTGTATACGATTTTTGATTCGGGGTTGTTTGGTTGCTTTGTAAAAAGTCATAACTAAATATTTTTCAACTTAAACCATACTGAATCTGATCAGCAACTTTTAATGAGTTAATGTGAAAAAATGTGTAAAAGTACCACGTTTTTACTGCATTTATCCATTTTTGATTAATACATTTAGAAATTAATATAGCATCATAGTTTTTTCATCATAATATATATTTTATATATATATTTTTAATCATATATATATATATATATGTATGTGTGTGTGTGTGTGTGTCTGTCTGTCTGTGTGTGACCCTGGACCACAAAACCAGTCATAAGGGTCAATTTTTTGAATTTCAATAAACATAAATTAAGTTTTGATATATTTACGGTAGGAAATTTACTAAATATCTTCATGGAACATGATCTTTACTTAATATCCTAATGATTTTTGGCATAAAAGAAAAATCAATAATTTTGACCATACAATGTATTTTTGGCTATTGCTACAAATATACCCCCAGAGACTTAGGACTGGTTTTGTGCTCCAGGGTCACATTTCTAACAAAACAAAACATTTTGAAGTTTTCAAACAAAATAAATTCATTTTACTTGCATAAACTTTCACTTTCGGAAGAAAAAAGTGATAATTTTTTCATGCTGCAATAGTTCGTCAACAGGCATACATATTTATGCTCATCAACAAAATTCAGTCCCAGCTGTGTGTGAGATTTAGGGAAAAGCTAAATATATTTTACAAAACTTTTTCGTATTTCTTATTGAAAAAAAACTAATCAAATTAGACGGTTTAGTGGTGTATGGAGTGACATTTTCTTGCAGACTGCAAACTATAGGTTAAACTATAGGCTGTACTGTAGTAACAATAGTGAACAGATGTGTAAAATGTGCATGTTTGCACTTTAAAAAGACATGCCAGATATCTGTGATTACACAAATATTACTAATATCACCGAAACTCCAGTTCAATGTTTCCATGGGGGGAGATTTACTACAGTAAATACTGAAACAGCACAACGACCAAGCTAAATACTCAGCTAAATGACTTCGTGTTTGTTGTTCTTTCCTTCAACTCACCCTTTATTCTTGATATTAGCATTCTTCAGATGGATGTAGCTGCATGGGAAAATGCCCTAATAAGAAAGATAGATAGACAAACAGATAAATAAACCAAAATAAAAAATGAATAAGCCTACTAAGAATCAAGGGAGCAAACAGACAGAAATAAAGCAAGATATTGTCTTTGATCCGTGCGTTTCGGCTGACGGTGTAGCTGTGATATTTCAGGAACTGAAAATAGCATCCGACACAGACACGACTGATAAAAGATGGAGACGGCTGCTTACCTTGGCATTCGGGTTCTTGAGGACAAATCCTCTGTACCAACCTGAAACACGAAACATTTCTGTCACTTTCATCTTTAATATCAGCCAAATGTTTCCTGACTGAGCCTTATCATAAAGGTACTTTTCATAGGATGTTATCGAACAAAACACAGCAAGTAATGTTGGAAATGTCCTTAAATTAGTACAAAAAAGGACAAATCTATGCTTATTTACTTGAAGGGACAGTTCACCCAAAAATGAAAATTCTGTCATCATTTACTCACCCTCAATTTGTTACAAACCTGTACGAGTTTCTTTCCTATGTTGAACACAAAAAATTATATTTTGAAGAATGTTGGTAGCCAAACAGTTGACGGTAGCCATTGATTTTCACAGTATGGAAAAACACACTATGGAAGTCAATGGCTACCGTCAACTTTAGGGTGAGTAAATGACAGAATTTTCACTTTTGAAAATCCCTTTAAGTACAATAAATCTGACAGAATTCAGATATGCGTGTCAAGTGAATGAATATTAAAAATGCTTCTTTATATTAAAAGATATTTAAAGGGGTCATATGATGAGATTTCAATTTTCCTTTCTCTTTGGAGTGTTACAAGCTCTTGGTGGATAAAGAAGATCTGTAAAGTTGCAAAGACTAAAGTCTCAAATCCAAAGAGATATTCTTTATAAAAGTTAAGAGTCAACCACGCCTACCTAAAACGCCTCGTTCTAACACGCCCATACATGTCTATGTCACGATGTGTGAAGATTTGCATAACGCCGCCCAAATGTTCACGCAAAGAAAGAAGGCGTAACTTTTATTCTCGCTGTAGTATTGTTGCCGCCGCCGCCATGTCGTGAAGGCGTTGTGTTTTGTTGTGAAAGCGAAACTACTTTGTTTGGCCTTCCAAAAGAGAACGATATCGCTTCGTCATGCCTGGAGCTGATCCGTGCTGGTCGCTGAGGAAATACATCAACTTCACGCTGTGGATCGCCGGATCGGCTTTCACCGTGAATGAAGCGGAGTCCAGCCCAGGGTCGTCACATGTGGTTGCCGCAAGCCCGCTGGATGCCCACTGGATGCAACAAATGCCTCGTTTATAATG